ATGGGCAAGGGTTCTGCTAACTGAAAGCAGGGTCTCAACATGATGACAACAGGGATGTTGGCTGCGGTCATGCCGGCCATCATCTCAGTAAGTGTTCTTTATCCACATTTTAGCGCATCCCATTGGCACCACTTCTGCGCAGAATCGTTTCCGATACTGACAGAGCCAATAGAGAGAACTACCCAGTGGCTGGGGGCCCCAAAAAACGCTTAATCACCATAGGACCATAGGTATCCATCGAATCAGGGTTGTTCAAACCACCACGATTAACGATTGCCCTTTCCCGCTGCGCCAGGAGCCAGACGAGCGAAGTTTAAACCAGGTGTTGGAGCCATTTCTGGACCGGGTTAGGATCCAGATAGATCTATTGTTTCGGAATGTTCGGGTGCCGGGCTGTCGCTGTCATGGTAGGTGATGTCCACACATCTGGGTCCATTACAAGGTTTCCCTAAACAACAATGGTAGCCGCGAGTTTCGCAAGGACGGCAGTGGGCCGACCGACGAGCAACAGCAAGTCCGAACGCTCCAGAGATTTCTGAAGGCGTCGGTCGCAAGCCTGCCTTTGCTTTTTCTTGCTGCTGCTCCTAAATGCTGATGCTGCTAACGAGAAGAGTGACTAATGGCAATTCGCCCCGCCCCGACAACTGCAGATGTCTTTCCCGACCCGAAGTTGTCGAGTGCGGCTGCAAATGATGCTGGTTGTGCCCATTGTCGCATCATGGCGCTGCAGTCGTAGCGGTGCCATATGTCCCTTGCCGGCCGCATAGGCCTCGCCCGATCCGCTCAATACGTGGGCTGGGCACCGCACTCGGTGTGCTGACAGTTAGATGCTTCCTGTTTTGTAAGCCGCTGAATCCCAGAAGGGCTTGCAGGCTGATCGCCAACTCGTCGACTTGCCAGTGCTAACTATGATGAATGGCACGGTGACATTTATGACGATATCCGCTGGAATTCCGCTGCAAACGAATGTGCGGTTTGCTGTTGGGTGCCGGCCACAAACTATGCCTTCTTGCCCCGAACCGAAGGAAATCTCAAGAGGCCCTTAATTCGGATGTGTCCCCTTTGCGCCAACATGTTTCTTGCTCCTTCTTCAGGCTGGCCTTCGTTGTACTGCTCTACCTTAACCTACCAAAACCTACTTTTTTGTAGGTTCCTATTATACACCCTAATATATAGGGACCCTACAAAAAAGTAGGTTTCGGTAGGTTAGGGTAAGGAGGATGAATCGCTTAATAAAGGTACTAGACAGTCAGAAGTGTGAAGAAGAGGCAGCCCGGACCCTGTGGCCTGGTCTCTCTGCACCCCTGCAAACCCTGTAATAATCACTGTAATAGTAATAATAGTAATAATAGTACTAATAGAAATAATCGTAATAATAGTAGTAATAGGAATATTTGGAATCATAGTAATCATATTCCTGAAAGTTTGGACTTCAACTTGGAGCGACAGGTCTGGTGGACCCGTGTCTGCCGTAGCGCGCGCGGGCCGCCCCGACCTGGTCCACCACTCGGTATCTGACATTGTGCCACGACGTGGCCTCGTTTGTTCCACTTGACAAACTCAAGAGTGGGAATTCCCAAGCGCTTTGCTAGCGCCTCCTGGTCTCCCCCAAAGGGGCGCGCTTAGCAGTTTGCCTTGGCTGCAGGCACGGCTTTTGCTCAGAGCAAAGGCCAGCGTTAATGACTCAGATGCCAAAGGCGCCGGCGCCTCAGAGAGTGTTCCGTTGGAGGCCGCGCTAGCTCGCAGATGTCCAGCTTCTGTTCATTACTTCAAAAGTGTTGTTGCACTGCGGTACCTTGTAAAGCTGTGAAGGCCTTCTATGGCCGATGCAGTTCTGTACTTTGTGTTTCTTCGTGGATGTTTGGGCGATTGGCATCCTGCCGGACCGACGCAGCCTGAACGCAGGTCACTGCTCTGCACATTGCCGCTTTTGACGGGATGGAGCCTGAGACGTCCAGCAAAGGGTGCATCAAGTCGTGGGAAGGAGCCCGAAGCAGTTTCCTGTGCCCTAAGCTGTGTTTCTTGCGGTTTGCCATTGCGCCATGCACTGGCAGCTGAGGAATGCGGAGCTTTGCAAGGTACTTCTATCTGCGAGGGCAGATGTGTTGTTCTCAGCTTCTGCCACTTCAACTTTGTTTAGTAGGACTGAGTAGGGAAGACGGTTCTGCATGCTGTGGACTCTCGACAAACTGCAGGTTGATGCTACCGACCGACACGGCCAAACACCTCTCTTTTTCGCGCAAGGTGCACAGATTCGTCGTTCTCCCGAGATGTTTTTGGTGTGCCTGAAATCTCTGGGTATCCTTTGGCTCAAGATCGCTACCCCTCCCGGCCCGCAGCTCTCCGTGCCCCGCAGTTCACCTGCGTGCACCAGGCACGGGAAGAGACGGCAAGAGCACCAAACGACAGCCAAAGGCAAATCCCAAACTCCTCTTGCTTTCTAGTTGTGTCAACTTCAGCTCGATGATTTGGCTGCGAACATACAGTGTCTCGTCCTTGCGAGAGGCCTCCCTCGCAGCGCCATGGCCCCACCTCCGCCGCAACTCGCACAGACAGGGGCGTTGTTCTGGGTCTGGGAGGTTCAAGAGATTTCTGAACCCTAAACCCTAAAGTTTCCCTAAAGCCTAAAGGGGGCTAGCTACAGAGGCCAGAAGGAGCGAATGAGCAAAGCTACACAAGGGCGGTGGTTCTTCTTGGCTCCTCGAAAGGCTGGAGTTGCTCGAGCTTCAGGAAGAAAATCTTCAAGGGCCGAAGAAACTGTTCGAAGCCTAGGACCTAGAGTTCCGTCTTTGCGCTGCCTGAGCGTTGGAACCTTGAATCCTTGGGACCTTCAACCCGGGGTGCCCGGCACAGGTGCAACAGCCAAGATCCACGGGCCTTTTTGAGCAAGTTTGGGGCTTGACGAGGACATTCCCTGCGCGAACGCTGCAGAGGATGCAGCGGCAGGATGAGTGCGTGACTTGCTTGAAGCAGGGGGTGGGGGGTTGGGGGTCCAGATTGTGAAAAGTTGGGCCTCGCCGTTTGGGGACCAGACGCCGAAGCGCATTTCAAGACTTTGCTTCAACTGTGGGGTCTCTCTTGAGCTTAATGGTTAGTGATCAGTGTATACCAGCAACACGCTGTGCACTTGAAACCTGAGCTGACTTCCTCCGACTGAGGGTCGGCATGCCTTGCAAAAGCACAACTTGCATGGACTTCAGCAGTTTAGTGAGATGTGTGAATATCTGCCCACTCCAATGTGGTTGAGGCCGTAGTAGAAGCAGCGGTCGCCGTCTCGTGGAAGCACTGCTGAGATCCAGAGCCAAGGCTATGCGCTGTGTGTCCTCCTTCCCCGACCTGACCTGGACAAAGAAGAAGTCGCCCAAGCCACTTCAGGCGCGGCCTTTGGGAGCCTCTTTTTTTCACCCTGATACCGTCGCTATCATCAGCATCACTTAAGAAAATCCACACCGCTTGTCATCGATGTCGTCGAAGACGGACGGACTACACTGCACCACCGCAAATACAAACCGCTTCAAACAGGCTAGAGCATTTTGAGAAAGAGCACCAAACCAGTCGAAAGAAAACTAGGACAACCAGAAACATGGGCAAACAGCTCGAAAGAGACTAGCGGATCTGATGCAGAGGAGAAATTGAGAAAAAAGGGGCAAACCGGCTGTCGAAAGAGACCAGAACGTCCGGAACAGGAGCAAGCCGCTTGAAACAGAATAGAGAATTGTTGCAAAGAGAAACATCGTCGAAAGGGATTGGCCTTGTCGGAAACAGGAGCAAACTGCTCGAAAGAGACCAGAGAACTTGACAACGAGGCGAATTTGAGAGAAAGAGCAAAGATTCCGCACTGGGCTTGACCATCCATAAACAGAAGAAAAGCAAACAGTGCGAAAGATACTATAGGGACAGTGAAAAAGGCATAACGTGCGACAGAGGGTCATCAGAAACAGCAGCAAACAGTCCGACATAGAGGGGAATGAGGAGAATTAGAGTAGCAGGCGCAGACCAGTTGAAAGGAATTAGAGCATAGAGAAACAGGGGCACGTTGTTCGAACGTGACTAGAGAATTTGTGAAAGAGAAGAATGTTGGAAACGCGAGCAAACCAGTCGAAAGGGACTAGAACTTTGAGACACAGCAGCAAGCCGCGCGACAGAGACTAGAGAGTTTGACAAAGAGAAAAAGCGAGAGAAATAGTCGCAAGGGGGACAATCCCGCGCACTTTTCACACCTGGTCCGTGTGCCCAACAAACACTGGGGGTGCCCATGCGGCCAGGGGGCCTAACACGTTCCTTTGCCCCTGTGGAAGAAGAAATAGTCCAGTCAAACGGGACGAGGACATCCGGGAAAGAGAATAGCGAACCTGACTCCGAGGAGAGTTTGAGAAAGAGGAGCTCATCAGCCGAAAGGGACTAGAACATTCAGAAACAGGAGCAAACCGCTCAAACGAGACTAGGGAATGTGACAAAGAGGAGAATGTGAGAACGAGGAGCACACCTGTCGAGGGCGACCAGGCTCCAGAACTGCCAGAAACATGAGCATACTGTGCGAAAAAACGGTGCAACACCAGATGCAAGAGAACACTTGACTTGAGGAACTGGAGCAAACCAGTCGAAAGGGACTAGAAACTCAGACACAGGAGCAAATAGTTTGTATATTTAGCAGACCCCAAAACCTGACAAAGAGGATAATTTGAGAAAGTGGAGCTCAAACGAGGAGAAGAGACGAAAGAATCTGAGCAAGAAGAGACTTTGAGAAACAGGAGCAAACCAGTCGACAGGGGCTACTTGGAGGATCATGGGACTTAGTAACTGGGGTTATGAATAAGGTAATTATACTTATAAGTAATTGTAACCCCAATTAAGGTAGTTATAACCTTACTTCCTAAGTCCCATGATCCTCCAAGTAGTACATGGGTGCAAGCCAGTGGAAGGGGCTGAAAGAGCCGTTCGAAAGAGAGTAGAGAGTTTGACAAAGAGGAAAGTTTGAGGAAGGAGGAGCAAACGGGCCAAAAGGGACTAGACCATCCAGAAACAGGAGCTAACAAATCGAAAGATACTTGCGAATTGGACAAATAGGAGAACGAAGGAAAGAGGGGCACTCCAGTCGAAAGGGACTAGAACATCCAGGAACAAGAGGAAGCCGCGCGAAAACGAGACCAGATAATCTGACAAACAGTAGATTTTGAGAAAGGGGCAAACCCATCGAACATGACCGAACGACCTCAACGAGACTAGGGAATTTTGCGCCGAGGAGAAACTCAGAAAGAGGAGCAAACCAGTGAAAGGGCCTAGAGCTGCCAGAAAAAAAGGAGCAAACGGCTCGAAAGAGACAAAGACGAGAAATTGAGAACATGGAACGCACCAGAACATCCAGAAACAGGAGCAAACCCCTGCACTGACCGTACAGAATGCGTCGCAGAGGGGAACTTGAGAAAGCTGAGCAAGCCCTAACCGCTAGAAAGAGACTAGAGAATTAGACAAAGAGGAGATTTTGGGAAATGGGAACAGACCAATTAGAACAGCCCGAGATATCAACACACCGCTCTAAAGATACTAGCGGCTGGACACAGAGGATAATTGGACAAGGCAGAGCGAACTGCTCGAAGGGGGCTTGCTCCTGTTGCTAATATTATCCTTTTTGTCACAAATTCTCCGTTCGCTTTCGAGAGGTTTGCTGTTGTTTCTGGATGTTATTCTAGCTAAGTCCCTTTCGACTGGTTTACACTCATTGTGTTTTCTTTTTGTCAAAATGTCTAGCCTCTTTCGAGCGGCTTGCTCCTGTTTCTGCATTTTCTGGTCACTTCCGATAGGTTTGCGTTTTTTTGTCGAATCTCTCCTTTGTCAAACGTCCAAGTCTCTGTCCTATGGTTTGCTCTTGCTTCTGGTTGTTCTAGCCCCTTTCGATTGGTTTGCTCCTCTTCATCAGAGCCTCCTCTCCGTCAAGTAGTCCAGTCTCTTTCAAAGGGCTTGCTGCTGTTTCTGGCTGTTCCAGCCCATTTCGACAGGCTTGCGACGCTTTCTGAAAATCTCCTTCCAACGCTCCGGTTTCTGAATATTTGCCAGTTCCTTGCGACTGGTTTGCTGCTCTTTTTCGGCTTTTTCAAAAGAACACGGACCCTGTACTGTGACATGTTCCCTCAATATCTTGCGTCGTGCAGTTCTTTTGCGCACCCGTGTTCTTGACAGTTGCAGCAGCAATCGCTTGATTGTTTTTTGTCGGGCATCGCCCAGCTGACCAGCACTGCTGCTGCTGCCGGAGCATGCTTTCATTGAAGTTCCCACCCGTTAGGAGGAATTGGTGGTTTCAGTTGAGCAGGTCGGTGTTTGAAAACCCCGGAGTGGCTACCCACCCACAGCAGGAATTCAACTGAGCAAGAAACCCTACAGAGCTGTCGAGACCCCTCTGACTGAAAGGTGACCCCTCTGCACTGAAGTTTGGCTCAGGATGCTCACCGGAGATTTCCTGGACCAAAGCACCTTCAGGACTACTGCGGCCACGTCCCCCGGAAGAGTCTCGTCAGCTCTTTACTGGGTTACGGCTACATATCTCTTGCAGCTGATTTCAGCCCAGGTTCAACCCTTTCCACGGCGGTCACATCCTGGAGTGCCTTGGCCGAGATATTCTTTTGGTTCCCCCGGATTCTCGCTGTGAGCGCCCGTGGAAAAGAAGCGCTTGAGCCCGAGGAAGTCGGCTTCTTTGCCAGCCATTGCGACCAAGTCAACACAGAAGTCTTCAGCTGCAGCAGTCCCGAGTTTTTGTGATATGTTGTGATGCTTCGTGTGCTTCGCTGTACATTGCCGGGGTGAGGTTCGAGTTCACCAACAGAAATTGAAACCTAGACTGAGGCAAGCACCAGCTTTGGTATGTGGTACGGGCAACCCAGCCGCAAGTCTCTGTTGTCAGTGCTGCCTCTGTTCAGAAGTGGGACGCGGAGGTTTTGTCACAACAAGACAGGGTATGAAGACGTATCGAGGAATTGCCATGCTATGGGGCAGAGGATGTTGCCTTCTGTTGTGTAGCCATTCCTGCCTGGCCGGAGGCCTTAACGAAACCTTAGCCACAAGCCCAAAAGCCCTTGCAGAGTCTGCAGCCGCAAGGAGCCGGAGCGGTGAGTGCATGGCTTTTATGCACAAAGCCATGTCGTGGCAAGTGTAGCTTCAGCAGGCCCTGTTTCAGATCCGTAAGGCATGTGGGCAGCTTTCCCAGCCCCGTCGACAACTGGGTCCCTGCTCATTTCGCTGCTTACCTGAGGCATACAGGTTGTGAGCTGTAGGCTACACCTGGCATTCGTTTCCGCGGGCAATATCCCTAACCACAGTCTAAGGTGGAAGGGCAACACTACTAGCGGCACCAATGCGGCGATGGCATCAACGAAGTGTGCAGCTTTGGCAAGGGCCGATGCCTCTCAAAACAGGGGAGCGTTTCACTGTTTCACTGCAGCCCTCGCACTGCGAACCGGGCATGGAAGCAAGCAAAACAAGCTAAAGGCGACCAATCTGGAACATGCCCGCACAGCACATCACAGCACGTTGACATGCTCACACTGCTCCTGTCTCCGTCGTTAGATTCGCTGATACAGTTCTGCCCGCCTCCTCGACAGCGATGGCTGAAGCCGGGGCAGTGGCGGAGCATGGTGGCAGATGCTCCAATAGCAGATAGCAGAGTCAGGGAGGTGCGATGGAGCCTCGAAATGAGGCATCGCTGACACCCTGCAAGCTTGCAGACAACAAGCATGGACTTGCCAGCAGACGTCTCTTCTCTCCTTCGTTTAGACAAATTTTCTCTGAATGCAGCGCTTCGGCTGTGTGCGAGTACGGAAAGATGGCGCTGTGCGTGCGTTGTGCTGGAGCTCATGCGGGGCGAGCTTATCGAGGTGGACATCATCGCAGTCACGACAGTTCTGGCAGCATGCTCAAGGACTGAACACAGTCAAATGCCAGCATCCTGAGCGGCTCGGTTTCAGCCGGCAGGAAATCCCAAACTTAATTAGACCTTGCCAGGAGCTCTCAGTGGCGGAGAGCCTTGGTGTTGATGTCTGCTATGGAGCTCCAACCGGACACAACGACCTGGAACACGGTGATTCATGGCCAGAGCAAAGGCTTGGACTGGCGGCGAGCATTCCTTGAGACAAGCGCCCTTTGCAGAAGGTCCCTGCAGACCTCGAAGGTCACTTGCACGGAAAGTCTCACGGCCTGCTGTGGTTGCAGGAAGTGGATGCAAGCCCTGGGCATTCTGCAGCTACGGCACCCTTCACTGCGAGCCGATGTGATAATGTACAGCTCTTCGCTGTCTGCGGCGACGAGTGAATGGAAGATTGGCCTGCAAGGAATTACTGCCATGGCCTGGCAATACCTTCAAGTGGACATCATCACCTGCAACTCGCTACTGCACGTGGCGCGTGGACGACACGCACGTTGGCAGGCCATGGCCAACCAGTTAATGGCGTTTCAGCGCGTCGGATTAAAGCTCACGCCTGTGACGGTCAATGTCGTCACCAATGGTTTTGCTGAGAGTGGTCAATGGCACTGGGCTATGCATGCCCTTGGTGCGGTAAGACAGGACAGCTTGCAAGATAACTTGGCCATCTATGGGTCCGCCGTGCATGCATGTGCAGCACGCTGGGTTCGTGCGTCTCAGCTCCTGCAAAATCTACGGCACTCCCTCATCGAAGCGAACACGATCGTGTTCGGAGCGGCCACAGCTGCGTGCGGTAAAGATCAAAGATGGACACGATCCACTCACTTACTGTCCGAGCTCCGGTTAAGTGCACTCCGAGTGAGCACAGTGGCACAGAATGCAGTCCTCAATTGTTGCAGCCAAGCTCAGCTTTGGAGGCTTGCGCTGGCATTTTGGTACACCGCCCTGGGACACGGGCTTGAATTAGACGTCGTCAGCTCCGGGACAGCGATCAAGGCCTCCGGAGACTGGGGATTGGCAGTGCAGCATTTGAATTTGTCGCGCCAGAGGACCCTGCAGACGGGTCCTCAGTAAAGAGCCAACAGCGATTGGGAGGATAGCTGATCGGGTTGCTTGTGCCTCGCACATCGGATCACAGTTTCTCTGTGCGGGAGCTAAGGATAGAGATCATCACGCTCAACACAGCTCTGGACTCCATGGAAGGAGCCATGCGTTGGACCGGTGCCCTTTCCCTCCTACGCCGATTTGCACCTGTCATGCTGCAAACGGACGCAGCATCCGACAACACCATCATAAGCCACTTGCACAGCTTGGTAGACACTTCCCATGTCTTGATTCAAGAGTTAAAGGAATGTTGGACTTTGTAAGTCTACTGGTTACAAGTAGGGCCACAGCCTTAAGGGTTCCTAAGGAACCTCATAGTACCCTTACAGGAACCCCATAGGTACCCTTAAAGGAACCCTTTAAAGGAACCCTAAACCCTAAACCCTAAACCCCCCTCGGGCTCCTTTTGCGACCCTCAGGCGCCCTGGGCAAGGCGGGCGCCTGGAGCCTCGCGGCTTCGGCGGCTTCCGGGTTTCTCCAGCGCAGACGTGCAGCCGCTCGCATTGCATTCTGAGGTTTAGGGTTTGTTAACGTCGGTGCAAAAGGGTTTAGGGTTTAGGGGATGTTGGTCAGGTGTTTTTGTGTACATTACAGTAGAAACACATACCATCAGCTGTATGCCGTGCCATATGTTTTGAATCATTTTCCATAGTGCAAGACGGGGGTGCTCTTGGTGTTGAAAGCTGATGTGACAGGTGGGTACATCGGTTCAAAGGCTAGGCCTAGGCCATAGGTCTTTCGGCTGCACAGTGAGGATGTTGTTTCCCTTGGCGCGGCCGTGTCCGCCTGCGAGCGAGCCTTCTGCTGGCAGCGGGGCCTCCTCCTTCTCACTCTTTTTGCCCGTCGCAGCCTTCCGCTGAATGCCGTGGTGTGCAGTGCAGCCATTGGTTCGTGTGAGAAGGCGCAGCTGCAGCTAGCGATGGAACATGCGCGTGGTTTGCAGAGTCTTTGGTGTGGAGGGGGGCTTTTGGACATCATGGGTCAAGTCAGATCAAGTCAATTCCTGGGTCTGGGAGGACCGCAACTCGTCACGGCACGTCCTTAGACGATGTAGCACATTTGACAATTTGTTGTGCATGCCAATGTTGCACGGCCTTTTGAATGGTTCGTTCATGGTGAAGTGATGATTGTTTATGTCGTTGTTCCCTCGCTCGCAAAGACATTGCGCTGGGCTGTGCCAGCTCCATTGGGATCACAGCCGTTTTTCCTGGTGGTTGGCACCTGTCTCAATCATGTTGTGTTGTTGCCCCACAGATCCCAAGGCCCCGAAAACATTCGTGCGCCGGCACGGGTGTACCTTCAAGATAGGACATATGTGTGTCGCACAGAAGGTTCGCACAGCCGAGGCCATATGTGCTAACTTGGGCGCCTTCGGCAAACAAAAACTAATCCGCATAGACAAGGTTGCCCAGCCGAGACCATGTGCTAACTTTTGCTGTCCCAAAGAGGATTGGGAAGCTTTGGCCATGGTGGAGAGGGCATCGCCTCCCCGAGCCATGGCCTCGTGGCGGCATGGGCAGAGAAGTCCTGGATTGGCTGCCCCTCTTGTCAGGCCGCCGGGAGCTTTCACGGCATGTTGTACTTGGAGGATCATGGGACTTAATAACTAGGGTTACAAGTTATAAGTAAGGTAACTGTACTTATAAGTAGCTATAACCCCAATTAAGGTAGTTAGAACCTTACTTACTAAGTCCCATGATCCTCCAAGTATAGCATGTGGGAGTTTCCGAAAATTCGGGGTACCTTATTTTGGGGGGTCCTTATAATAAGGATCCTACTATTTAGGGTACTATATTAGGGTCCCCTATTCTCGGAAACTCCCATGTTGTATATCGCTGGAAACGACAGGAACGCTGCATCCGCGGGCTGGCGGCCTCCCAACCATTCCGCAACAAGGTTGCCGTAGTATAATAATAATAATAGTAATAATAATAGTAATAGTAATAGTAATAGTAATAGTAATAGTAATAGTAATAATAATAAAAAAAATAATAATAATAATAAATAATAATAATAATAATAATAATAATAGTGCCTCCGTTTCGAAGCCATCGAATCGCATGTGCCAGAACCCTGTATTCTGCATTGAGGGCTGGCATTACCTCAGCGGCATCACCTGGATGGCGACTCATGGGCATAGCATCGGGCAAAAAGCTGGAGGTCTATGCTGCCCTGTCCACCACACCCTCGCGGACTCATGGCTCGACTCATCTTGATTCACCTGTTTGCCTTGTGTCACAGGCGACACAATGCGACAGTAAGCTTGGAAAAGGTTGTGACACCAAGGTTGCGATCCGGCCGTGAGCTGAAGTCGTGCCTCATGTCGCTCTTGAAGCAGCAAGCTCCCATGCAAGTGCTCCTAGCTGTCCCGCGGGGTCCGTGGCGACGCGGTGGCGGCGCGGCCGCGCACCTCGGCAGACTTTCGAGACGACCTGTTCGTGCCACTGCCTTTGCATTGGACAGGGCTGCAACTCCAGACGCTTGGGGTTTCCGTTGGGGGTCGCACATGTAACTTGTGAGGTATCCGGCTGCTCTTCCGCCATGGCTGGTACTTCTGAAGCGGCGGTGGAGGCGACTAAAGGTTCTTCGGTGCACGGATTTCGGACCCGGAACTGGCTTGCTTGCAGCTGCGAAGCTGGTTCGAGACCCGAGCGCCTGGATTCTTGCCGTGGATGATGATCACAGCTACTAGGTGGCAATTTGGGAAACTTTAACAGTTCCCTTATGGTTTCTAGAGAGGTACCTATTCATACATACTTTTCAGGGCCCCAAAACTACAACCCAGGCTATCACCCAGAACTCATAACGAACCTACTCCGCTTTGCTGCTGGAACTCCCGGTGCCGCCGTCGGTGCCCATGGCTGGCTGGCTTTGAGTGACAGAGACTTTGGCAAGGCCTCTCAGGTGGCTGGTCCGGCCCTGGCCCGGAATTTGCGAAGAAGCGCCGAAGAAGGGCCCGCAGGGCCCATCCTCTGCCACTTCCTTGGGCTTTTGCTGCAGAGGCAAATGCTGGATGGCTTGAGGCAGCCCAGTCGAAGCTCCGCCTGCAGCGACCACAACGACATCTGGCTGTCAGCACACCTCGCAAAGAGGAGGATTCGGCGGGCAATGGTTTCCGATCCCCTTGGTGCAAGTGACTTGTCAACTCATCGAAGACAGGGCCTGTCCTTGTCTCGGAGAAGACGTCGGCGACCTGAGCACAGCTGTCTCGCAGAGTTCTTGGAGACACATGGAGCTGAGTTGTGGAAACCCTTCCCCAGAGTCGTGCTATGCTCCTTGCAGCCGCCGCTTGGCATTGCCGATCACATTGGCGCAGCAGGTCTGCCGGCCGATGCTATCTACAGTTGCGGTCGTCATCCGCGACCGCGGGACCGTGATGGGCGCAACGGCATCAGGCCATCAGCGTTGCTGCGCATGCCATCTAACCGCGGTGCAGCGCGAGCACGGATAAGCATGGGGGCATGACATAGGAGGAGGCCCCACCAGGCTTCGCCAAAGGTGGCCGTACTGAGTTTCGCGATCGTGTCTGCGACAGGTGGCTGCCGTGTTCGGCTTCCAGTGAAGAGGAGTTTCTGTCGCATGTGCTGCTGTGGGAACGTGAGGCCATTCTAGGCTAGCTCAAACTCTTTGGGGCCAAGCGCGATCCCGCTTTCGAACCGCAGGCTTCGACAATCCTCATGCTCCCACCTTCGCTACCTGACCAGTCTGCGCAGAGCAGGGAAGAAGCAGCAGAATCTTGGAAGGATTTTTGGTACGGTTGCAGATTGTCAAAGTATCCTACAGCCAAGTCTGCCCAGCCCTCGTAGCCAGGTGATGACGGCGCTGCTCAAGTGCCTGGCCAATTTGCCTGTCTCGGAGGGTTTCTGCGAAGCACAGCGCTGGCGGGCTGTGACGGTTGCCGAGCCGTGGCACAATCTTGGCCGGAATGACAGGGAGTGGGGTGAGGGATCATGGGACTGAGTAACTTTGAGAAATTAGTACAAGTAGGTATGTATAATGCAAATGTAGATATATATTTGGTTATGTGTGTATAGAGGTAAAAAAGGTATAGGGGGTAGGATACATACATACATACATACATACATACATACATACATACATACATACATACATACATACACACACATATATATATATATGAGCATTAATCTAAAGGTCCGTATATGGGATTTATATAAAATAATTTTAATATATGAAATAGAGTGTCCGCGAAAAGAAAATTATAATCCACGAAAGTTGTTATATAATAAATTTGAGGTATATAGGATTTATAAAGAATATACTGTATAAATCCGCAGGCGGACAAGTCGCAAATTCGTTGTCCCTTCATGCCGCGATGCAATATACCCAAAGTCAGATCGATCGGCTGCCAATCCACAAATTATAGGAGGTGGTAAGGGAATTGGGTTAATCGTACCCTTTATTTAAAAGTCTCTCCATTGCAAAGATTAATTTTTCCGACGATCAGAAGATATATTTTTGCGAAATCATAGTAAGTTAAGCACGAAAGACCCGATAAAATTACGCGAAAGACATTATGAAAGAAACCTTACCGTCTAAAAATCATAGTTTATGTCATGGCCCACGACTTAGAGTCGGCTTTTATAGTCCGGCTATTGCTACTACTACTACTACTATTACTACTACTATTACCGCTACTACTACTACTACTACTTCGACTTCCACTTCTCCTTCTACTTCTACTTCTACTTCTACCTCTACTTCTACTTCTACTACTACTACTACTACGACTACTACTACTACTACTACGACTACGACTACTACTCCTCGTACTAGTAGTAATATTTACTACTAAATATATTCCGCGAAAGTGAGAGCGAAAGTCCCGCGAAAGGAAAACAAGAATCCATGAAGAAACCATTTCCAGAAACAACAATATTAATCAACACTCATATATATATATATAATTTTTATATAATTATTATAAGAAATACTGAGGAAAAATATTGAAATATTAGAAAATTTCAAATACTCTCTAAATCTGGAATGAAATATCATTTATATATCGATAATCTATTTCTCGTTATCTAAAATATCATAATGCCAAATTTTTCAAATTTCAAGATTATAATAAGAAATATAGATATATATTTCATGATATAGGCTCCAAGAACACCATAATTCGCAATAATTGCGGGAGCTTTAACTTTCAACGACTGCTTAGCCCCCTCAGATAGGGCGAAGGTATAGCGGGCTTAATCCTGCCAAAAAATGTGGTTTCAAAGAATATTCAGAGTGGAAAGGGTTAGGGTCTCGGCGGGTGTTGGGCTCAAAGGATTTCGAGGTATGCCCCATTCCGACTGCTTCCCTTTTTGCAGATCTCGCGATCCCGTGTCCTGAAATCCCCCAATCCTAGGACCCTACGACTGCAAACTCTAAAGACCCTTAAAGGCACCGAGGGATTTCACAGCCAGGTTTGAGTACCTCACCCACGCACGTCCACGAAATCAGAAGCCATGACATCCCTAAGGCCGGAGAAACCCCCAATCCTGACCTAAACTGTGACCTTAAACCCTAAACTGTGACCCTAACCTTGAACCCTAAACCTTCTACTGCGACCCTACACCCTAAACCTACCCCTGAGGCCCTCAGGCCGGAGACAGTCAGAGAAACACGGCATAATTGCAGAAACCACAGCGGCCCAAAGCCCACACCCGCCAAAACCACTAAACTCTGAATGAACCCCATTACAATTGTAAACATCTTCAGAGGTCACTACATCGAAATCTTGTTCTATCTAAAATCTATATCATGAAATTTCTTCTGATCAATTTCATTAAGATAATATAGATCATATATATATATATATATATACTTATCATAATAAATACCTGTCCGCGCCATTTTATTTCAGAATAAAGACATTCTTCTGCATGCTTGTGAAACTGCACTTGGGTCTGTACATGGCGAAGGTGAGACAAGACACCATTCTTAGGAGTCGCTAAACCCTCAATGAACCTTCAATAACACATGGGGACCCAAAAAGGGACCCTCATTTGCAGAACTACCCACATAGCCGTAGCTTGAATGATTATAGTTACAGCATAATTTATACAGTATAGTATACCAGAATACCCCCAAACCCTATTCCAATTAATAAGGTCCTTACATTACCCCATAGTTAATTGCAGAATCCCCGACACTAAGGCCCTGAACCCGACACCCGGAAGCAAATCGCGAGCGCCGAAAAGAGCCGTGGCTCTGCTATCGAGGGCCTCAGAGGCATCACTCGCCGCCGACCTCCAACAGCTGCCAGTCAGTGCTTGGGGCTTTGGATTTTCGCGGTTTAGGGATTAAGTACATAGTGTTGTTATGACTTCCCTCCTGTATGACTTTACCTCACCTCGCAAGCATTGTGCACATTGTCGGCAGTAGTAACACTTACGTTGTGAGTAACACAGCCCTTGCCATTACAGTGACTCTTCTTGCGCTTATCTTAGGGAATATATGGCCTACGGTATATTGCATGGTGTGGATATTACTTACTAAAATATTTCCTACTTTTTTAACATACTACGTATTATGCATATTGTATATTATCTTGTATATATATATATAGCCCTAAACCCTAAACCCTTAAACCCTAAACCCTCAACCCTAAACCTAAACCCTATAAACCCTAAACCGATTGCCGGCCTCCACACGGGCTGCGAAGGCTCTTGGCTGAGGCTTCCGGGGCGGGGTTCCGAAGCTTCGCGAACTCGAAGATCCTAAGCCTTAAACCTAAGCCCCTGAACGGTACAGTTTAGGGTTTAGGGTTTAGGGTTTGGGGTTTGGGGTGTAGGGTTTAGGGTTTAGGGTTTAGGGTTTGGGGTTTGGGGTTTAAGGTTTGGGGTGTAGGGTTTAGGGTTTGGGGTGTAAGCCCTTGAACGGAACAGGTACCCTTACTATTACGGGGGTACTGGGGAACCTAGTATAGGATTTAGGAAATTTAGGGTTTAGGGTACACCCTACAACCCCATGCCTCAAAACCTTAAAGCCCTGTAGCCCGAAAGTGAAACGCCACGTTCCCAAGGCTACTGCAACAACACCACAGCCCTGAATCTTCAAGCTTCTCTCCCATTGAATCCCCACCAAGCCTTATGAAAGTACTTACAATCCATGGCGCAACACAACTTCTCTCCAGCCAAGCCCTAAACCCAACGTAAAGCCTGTAAACCTACGTGCGAAGTCCAGCCTCCTTCTTCAGTTGGTCCAATCGCTTCTGGATCTTTGTCATCCGGGTGTCCTTTCGTTCATCTTTCGGGTCTAGGCTTGGGGGTTTAGGGGTTGCCGGGGTTGCGGGTCTGGCAGGCAGACCGGCTGTAGAGTTTATTGTTCTGAAAATGCTCGGAATCTGGAAGGAGGACTCATTCAACGTTTAGGGAAGGAAGTCTTTTCGTCGCTTGGCCTGGGTGCACGGGCCTGGTTCATGTTGGTTCAGACGTCAGAAATACGGTTGATGATATAAATCCTGCACTACCCATAATGAACTATATACCATAATTCCCATAGTCTAGGGTCCTTAATGATTTGTATCATCAGAAGTATCTCAAAAGACTCATGACCGGAATAAGAGCTCTTATGAGTTTCTTCGCCAAGCTGGCTCGCGCTCCAAACCATGACATTGCCTCCATCGATTCTGCCGCATCCAGACCCTAAACCCTAAACCCTAAACCCTAAACCCTCAACCCTAAACCCTAAACCCTAAACCCTAAACACTAAATCCCCCAGGCCCCCAGGCCCTAGAGCCCAGACACGTTCACAACAGAATCGGCGTGTTCAAAGGGGTAGGGGGCCTTAATACCGGTAGTATGGACCCAACAAGGCCTATTCAAAGGAGTATAGTCCCCTACCCCCCGAAGGATCTTTATGGTTGAAATACAGGACAAGACATAATCATGGCTGACATGTTACGACTAGGAATCGTGAAAGGGGCAAGTCATGACAAGTCAGAATCAGGAACAGTATCCGTAGTACTCCGACGCCATCACCATTAGCACGATCATCATCATCATCATCACCATCATCATATGACTCGCAATCTTCGCCAGCATCATCATGCATGGTTCGCAGAACCCTTCGGTCTTGGACGTGCAGCCTCAAATTCGCGAAGCTCTACACCCGACACCCGGAACGCTTCATGCTGTGCCTGCAGGATGCCTGCAGCAGTCTCGAGGCTTTTAAGCATGGACACATCTCTGAAGATTTTCTCTGGCATGCTCGGGGACCTCCTAAACCCTAAACCCTATACCCTAAATCCCCTCAAACCGCAAATGACAAACCTGAACACAAAATCTCGAAATATCAACCTGTATCGAACTCTCCCTTTGTAGCCCACACATAGATAAACGATGTTCTGCACCCAAACCTTATCCCAATCATTAATGCTTCATTCTATAAAGCCGTAAGGCTGTTGGCTTTCTTCCCCAAAGCCCTACACCCTAACCCCAAACCATAAACTCCCAATCCTAAACCCTAAACCCTAAATCCTAGACCCATACCCCAAGCTGCCGGTCCTTTCCGCTGAGGCCCTTCTTCAGCTGCTTTCGGACATTCACCTGGGAATCGCTGTGGGGCTTTGAAGCATCCTGGGACTTGGCGTTTTTAGGTTTAGGGTTTGGGGTTTAGGGTTTAGGGGTTAGGGGTCTAGGAAAAAGTTTAGGGGCTTTGAAGGCTTTAGGGTTTTTTGGGGTTGGCTCAGTGCTGCGACTTCTCACGTTTAAGGACGAGCCATCAGCCACTGAATAGTACCGCCTTTGGGCTGCATGCGAGATGCATGCCTTTTGGGTTCAAAGTTCGTAGAAATTGTATAGGGTTTGGGTCCGGGATTTTGAGCGTTTTTTGTTATGCCTTTCATTTTTGATTTTTGGGAACGGGCTGGGCTGGGCTGGGCTGGGCTGGGCTGGGCTGGGCTGGGCTGGGCTGGGCTGGGCTGGGTGGCTGAGCTGGGCTGAGTC